TTATATTACTCCTGATATCATCCACGCATGATATTAACGGCGTGCTGTTGTTGTGATATGAACAGCTCGGCGAACAGATCGCCTAATATAGCCCCTGGGTGGGATTGATGTTCGTTCTGGGAATCGGCTCCTTAATTGTTCTGGGAATCTGCATGCGTTCACTCCGCTCGATGTGACGCCAGCCCGTCGAGACGCGGCGAGCGGAGTCGGACTATAGCTGGAATCTAATGCCCCGTACAGACTGCAAAATTCGATATGGTATCAAACTGCCTGGCGCGCACCAGTTTGATGCCATATCAGATTTGCAGTCTGTACGGGGTATTATGCATGCATCTGACTGTGACATGTCCTTGCTGAACATTGAGTTGATCGACGCGCCGTTTCTGTCCGCACGCGCGTCGTCTGCGGGGAAGTGACGTCATAGCGTGTCCGACCGTGACATCGCGCGCGCGCGTGCGAGAGAGAGAGAGAGAGAGAGAGAGAGAGAGAGAGAGAGAGCGCGCTTGCACGTACGGCGAAATTCCCGTGCCGCAATTAATTTGAATGCGTCGAGATCTGCACGATGAGTTGATCAATGACGATACCCAATGAGTTTGCCGAATGACGAAATGACGATCAATGCGGTCGGCTGGCTGGCTGTCGGCCGCGTCGACGTGAGTTTGGCACGCCGCACGAGCGTCCGGTCCGACGTTATTGCTCGCCCGACGGCGTCTGACGTGCTTCAAACGCAGCTCGACTCGGCAGTTATAGCGGAGGAAATCCTTAGTCTACGTGTCTTGCTAGCAGTCATCGCTGCCGACGACACGTCAGTGTGTGGCGAGGCGTCATCCATCAGTTGGTCTCTGTGGATGTTAGAGGTCGCTAGGGGGGAATAGATGGAAAGGGTCGCAGTAAATGGGAAGAGTGCTAGAAGAGACGAGGAGAGCCTGCGAGCGAGTGCGAGAAGAGATAGAGGTAAAAGGCGAGCACGCGAGTGAACGAGCGAGAGAGAGAGAGAGAGAGAGAGAGAGAGAGAGAGAGAGAGAGGAGAGGGAGAGAGATGAAGATAGAGAGAGAAAGAGAGAGGGGAGAGGGAGGGAGAGAGATGGAGATAGACAGAGAGGTGGAGAGAGAAAGAGAAAGAAGGACCCAGAGGGAGAGAGAGAGAGAGAGGTGTTGCATATCTTTTGCGATACATAAAACGAAGTGCTAATATGCATGGAAAGGTTCCTTCATGTACATTCACGCAGACATGCCAGAGCAGGTCGCCATAAACAGACAGCTTTTATAAAGTACCTACTCTTGCTAGATATACGTTTCGATCACCTAGGAACGTGCGTACGCGCACACAGCGTAGGGCAAGCCACTAGTCATGTAGTCATGATCAGGGCGTCAACACATGCAAGGTTGCATAGGAACCCAGACCTCTGCCATACTTTGTGTATCATGCGCTCTTGGATGTCGCGTGATACACGACTACGCGATTACGCAAATGCAAAATGACTTCACCTTCTTAATTAGGAGCTATAATAACATCGTCAGGGGGGAGCGGAGACGGGGGAGGGGCCCGTGGGTGGGCGGTTTTATTCAGAGGTCAATATACCTCCAGCAAACATTGTTGACTATGACTGAACATGCGATGTCGCGATTTAATTTCGTTGAGCTAGGAATGTGTGATATCATTGCGCGCGTGACACGAGAGGTCGTCGACGCACCAGGGTGTAGATGAATGCATTCAATTAGTTGTAAACAAAGGTCAGTGCCCTCGCTATATATACGTAATTACAGTTGCAGTGTAGTGCCGGCATATTGTTTCTACGAGTGGAGCGTGTTGTGAGTACTCACTAGTTTTCTATGTTATAAACCATGGTGCTAAGTCCACACGCCTTTCTCGTCGTCGTCGGGTGGTTAGCAAGTCCGATTGGTGGTAATATTCCAGAACGAATGCTCAGTATTATGGAGTTGTCTAATGAAGTCATTGGCGCAGCCTTTTGTATGCGATCTATATGTCAAAAGTTAGCTGTCTCAACTGTGGAATTTTGTTTAAACTATAATTTCCTATGCACTCGTATATACATACTATATACTATGCTATACTTTGCTATGCCATGCTATTCTACCTCGCCGCACCGCACCTCACCACACCTCACCACACCTCACCACACCGCACCTCACCACACCTCACCACACCTCACCACACCGCACCTCACCACACTGCACCACACCACAGCACACTATAGCACCGCACCACACCGCACCATGCACAGCACACTATAGCACCACACCACACCGTACCACACCGCACCACAGCATACTATAGCACCGCACCACACCGCACCACAGCACACCATTGCACCGCACCACAGCACACTATAGCACCACACCACACCGCACCACAGCACACTATAGCACCACACCACAGCACACTATAGCACCGCACCACACCGCACCACAGCACACTATAGCACCGCACCACAGCACACTATAGCACCGCACCACACCGCACCACAGCACACTATAGCACCGCACCACACCGCACCACAGCACACTATAGCACCGCACCACACCGCACCACAGCACACTATAGCACCACACCGCACCGCAGCACACTATAGCACCGCACCACACCGCACCACAGCACACTATATCGTTCTATACGGTACTATACCATACTATACTATACTATGCTATGCTATGCTATCCTATGCTATGCTATGCTATGTTATGCTATGTTATGCTATGCTATGCTATGCTATGCTATGCTATGCTATGCTATGCGATACTATAATATACTATACTATATACTATACTATACTATACTATGCTATGCTATGCTATGCTATGCTATGCGATACTATAATATACTATACTATATACTATACTATACTATACTATGCTATGCTATGCTATGCTATGCTATGCGATACTATAATATACTATACTATATACTATACTATACTATACTATGCTATGCTATGCTATGCTATGCTATGCGATACT